TCATTGCCTTCATTACGAAGTCTATTCTCTTAGCTTGGTACTAAGATCTTTCAATGTCTTTTCCCAACCAGTATTCCAACCACCCAGGGCCCAGAGCAGTCACTCGGGATTCTTCCTCATTCATACAATAACTCATACATTTGCTCTTATTATCATCTCCTTCAACTGACTAGCAAAATCTTAAGATAATTTTGTAAAAACTATTGTTTCCATTTATTTTTAGGAATCTGGATTTTATTTTATTGATTATTTATTTTTATTTTATTATTATTATTTTTTGAGACGGAGTCTCACTCTGTCACCCATACTGGAGTGCAGTGACATGATCTTGGCTCACTGCAACCTCCAAATCCCAGGTTCAAGTGATTCTCCTGCCTCAGTCTCCCAAGTAACCGGGACTACAGGTGCATGCCACTACACTCGCTAATTTTTTGTATTTTTAGTAGGGATGCGGTTTCACTGTGTTAGGATGGTCTCAATCTCCTCACCTCGTGATCTGCCCACCTCAGCCTCCCAAAGTGCTGGGATTACAGGCGTGAGCCACCGTGTCCAGCCTATTTATTTTTAGTAAAGACAAGGTCTCACTATATTGCCCAGGCTGATCTTGAACTCCTGGGCTCAAGTGATCCTCCCACCTCAGCCTCCCAAACTGTTGGGATTACAGGCGTGAGCCACTGTGGACAGCCAGGAATCAGGATTTTATTTTTCGGGAGATGGAGTCTTGCTCTGTTGCCCAGGTTGGAGTGCAGTGGCATGACCTTGGCTCACTGAAACCTCTGCCTCCTGGGCTCAAGTGATTCTCCCACCTAAGTTTCCAGAGTAGCTGGAACTACAGGTGCATGCCACCATGCCCAGTTAATTTTATTTTTATTTTTATTTTATTTAATTAATTAATTTATTTATTTTTTGTAGAGACAAGATTTTGCCATGTCACCCAGGCTGGTCTCCAAACTCTTAGACTCAACCAATCCTCCCACCTCAGCCTCCCAAAGTGTTGGGATTACAGGCATGAGACACTGTGCCTGGCCAGAGATCAGCATTTTATTTTATTTTATTTTATTTTGAGGTGGAGTCTCACTCTGTGGCCCAGGTTGGAGTGCAGTGGTGCAACCTCAGCTAACTGCAACCTCTGCCTCCTGGGCTCAAGTGATTCTCCCACCTAAGCTTCCAGAGTGGCTGGAACTACAGGTGCACAACACCATGTCCAACTTTTTCTTTTTTTTTGGTAGAGACAGGGTTTTGCCATGTTGCCCAGGCTGGTCTCCAAACTCTGAGACTCAAGCAATCCTCCCATCTCGGCCTCCCAAAGTGCTGGGATTACGGGCGTAAGCCACTGCGCCTGGCCGAATCAGGATTTTAGAAGGGAAAAGGGATCATGTTATTTACCTCCAAAGGCTTCTCTTTATTTAATTTGCCCTATGAAACCCTAAACTCAACCCCTCCATTGCTTTTACTCTTTCCTACTTCAAAGCCTTCCCTCTGCCTGGAACTTGTAATCCTCATCTCCCACCCAACCTCTACCCTGCAGTGAGCTTCTACTATTCATCCTCTAGGGCTGAGTTCAAATATCATGTGCTTTGCTAGAAAAGTCTCTGCTGATTGCCTCACTCTAGGTCAGGACTCCCATTCATAAAGTCTTAGAGCACCACATACATCTCCTTCAAGGCAATTACCACAATTGAAATGAACAATTACCTATATAACTGTCACCTCCATTTGAATATAAACTTCATAAAGCCAGGGCCAGTGTCTGTCACATTTACTATTATATCCCAAGCACTAAGGAGAAAACATTGTCTGCAGGAGGCACTCAATAAATACTGAACGAATAAAAGGTAAATAATTACCAAGCAAATCAGTAATCAGCTAACAACTCCTCACTATTAGCAATTCCTCCAAAGTTAAACCTGTAAAGCAGCTTTTCCGTAGTAGCTAAGCCTAAAGTGGTTTGTCCTAAGTAGAGTGTTGACTCAGATCTTCAAAATTCTAAACTTTCTGAAATCCTGCTCATGAGTTTGATTTCTTTCACTCTTTTTCTTTTTCCTAGCAAAATGTTTGAAGTATTTCCCAGATCTACTTTTCTTCCTGTGCAGAGTATATATTTAGTATAATAAATGTATACTTTGAGTGGATTTTATTTGCTAGATTTATAATTTGTCTTATAAATATTTACAGAACACTATTGTAGACCAAGCACAATGACTCTAAATATCAGGGTTCTTGGAAAACAGTACTCCTTGTAAGAATCCCAGATTGCCATATTTTAAATTAGAAATGGCCAAATAACATTTCAGGGCTCATAAACTAAGTGTCTATCAAACTTCTCACTTCTTCCCATATGGTAGATTCCATTCATTTCTAAATTTCCAGATGGCATGCATTGTGAGCCCACCAAAATCACCAGATATCTAGAATAAATTTCTCAATGTTATTTTTAAGTGACCCTTTTCTATTTAACCCTTAGTTCTGAAATAAAGGGTTTATATAATCATAAGTCTGGCAAAGATAAATATGGATGTATATTATGACTATAGACCTAAATGAAACCAAAAGATCAGCAAGTAATGCAGATATCCCCAAGAGCTATTCTCCTAGGGTTACATTTTATTTCACTGGTACGAAATTTTTAAGAAAAAAAATATATTTCATCGTAAAATACTGCTTTATGATTTTTAGTTAACTCCAAATGATATTTATGAAGAAAAGTAGGAAACTAGAACATAGTACCCTAGGGAGTCAAAGTAACCTACAAAGTTTCTGGATGAAAAAAACCCCTAAAATACCTAAGGAAGCATGTTGTTCTGGTACTCTTATGATTAAAGTATTATATTTTGGTAATAGTTGAATATATGTATAATGAAAAAGATTATAAGGATGTTGAGAAGTTTTTGCTAACTAAAATATAATTTCCTTTATAGTAAGGACTTTCTTTTCTTTCTCTTCCTCCCTCCCTCCCTCCCTTCCTTCTTTCTCTCTCTCTCCTTTCTTTCATTCTGACAGGATCTCACTCTGTCACCTAGGCTGGAGTGCAGTGACATGATCTCAACTCACTCCACCTTTGACCTCCCAGGCTCAGGTGATCCTCCTACCTCAGCCTCCCAAGTAGCTGGGACTACAAGCATAAGCCACCATGTCCAGCTAATTTTTAAATTTTTTGTACAGGTGGGATCTCACTATGTTGCCTAAGTTGGTCTCAAACTCCTGGGCTCAAGTGATCCTACTGCCTCAGCCTCACAAAGTGTTGGGATTATAGGCTTGAGCCACCACACCTGATCAGAACTATATTTCTTATGTTCTCAAAAGTATCAAATGTGAATATTGAAAAAATATTGATGATGATGAGGAGGAAAAAGCAGAGTAGCTTAATCTGCTTTAAAATTACACAATAAACAAGGTGGGTGCTTAGTTTTAACATACGGCCATATTTTCAAAACTGTGACACAAAGATCAGATCTCCTTATCTTTGTGTCACAGTTCTTTGGGTTGCTTAGCACTGTTTTGGTGGTGGTTGCTGTCATGTACTATGAATCAGAGTGTAGCCCCAGAGATCCCAGGGATGCTGTGTTTGTCCTAATAGAACAGTATGCCCAGACTCCCAGGATTCACTTCAGTACTAAACAGGTTCAAAATGAAATCAAAAAAAGGTTTGTGGATCTTCTATAAAACATATCTCCTTTCTACCATGAAATCCACAACTTGTAGCTATCCTGGATCTAGATGTTGAAGTTGCACTGCTAAACTCTAAGAATGGTCTTAAAGGTCTCACTAACATGAAAATTGTTCTGAAGTGCAAAAATGTAGATCAAGACACTACATATTATAAATACAGTAAGTAGATAATGTTGGCTTTAATAGAAATTGTGGGTGCCTTCTCTCTATCTTCTCTCCTCTTCCTGAGGCTCCTCTAACCCAGTCTGCCCCTAGGATCAATCAGAACATTCCATTTTATTCTATACCAAGAAGGTGTGTTCCCACATAATCTATTAGCTCCACAGAGACACAAGACGCTGTATCTGATTTTAACCCCTAGCATAGTGTCTAGGCCAGAGTGAGACATCATAAATAATTTTTGAATAAATGAATGAATGAAAGGCTAAAGTGGTTCACAGAGCTGAAAGAAAGGTCAGCCCTATCTTGTAATCATAGCTTTTAGGAGTCAAGTCTCTTGGATCTATATGGTTAGTGACATGAGCTCTGTTTCTGCTGTCTGAGCCTAAAATAATCTCGGTAAGTGGCTACAATCAGTTATGCTCTAGGCAATGGGGCAAACTCATTCTGGGTCTCCTTGTGGGCTGATCTATACTGGAATGACTTCCTTATTTTTGTTTTTATCTATTTATTTAGAGGAAGGGTCTTACTATGTTGCCCAGGCTGGCCTTGAACTCTTGGGCTCAAGCAATCCCCCTGCCTCAGCCTCCCAAGTAGCTGAGACTACAGGCATGCACCACTGCATCCCAGAATGACTTTCTTCTAATTAGAGTAATAAAATCTGAGATGCTGGTAGGAGCCTGGGAGGCAAAGGCTGAGTCTTCTTTGGTTCTAGGTAGTGAAATCTACCTAGGCTAGGCACTTCTAGGAGGTGCAACCTAGCTCTCTAAAACAAAGTGACCAACTATGCATTTTCTGGTCAGTGCCCTCTGTGCATACATATTTCCCCTGCAGCAGAAGAGGCAGCTGGTGGCAGGTAAAATTTAAGAGTTAGAAGCTTTTATTCCACCCATCTATATTATTTATCGAAAAATATCAAATAGCACCCAACCTTAGAACAAATGGAATATTATGATGACAGACTTGAGTTAATCAAAACATGCCTGCGAGATTCCAGAAAAAATTTTAGTACTAGAATTACAGTCAAAATAAGATGTCATAAGGCAAAAAGTAATTCTTTTAGAGGTTAAAAGATTCAAAATTTGAATCATTCACATTTTGTCTCATTAGGATGAATATGACATATACTTATAAACCGTATGTATTATTATACAAAATTGTGAAATACTTACGCCTTCTGCATAATGCAAGTATCGTTTATTAGTTTCCTGTTTACCAAATGTCTCCAAAAACTTTTGACGGTAAGCAAGAACTGTATCAACATGTGTTTTGTATTTTACAGCCAATTCCAGTGCCCTATAATGAGAAATAAAACAGATTATTAACATTGTTTGTGTCAGACTCCATGAGTAGTAGAGTTCTGGAGTTGGGGGTAAGACAAATGGCTCTTCCCTCTGTTTATTCCACAATATGAAATGCCATTTTCTACCTCATCAACCTTGCAAATTCCTACTTATATGCTTCAGGGACCAGATCAAATGAGGCCTCTTCTCCCTGACCAGCTCCTCTTGTAGAAATAAATGACTATTATCTTATCTATGCTTCATACCATTTATATATATATACTATTATTACAGCATGCTTATAGTACAATTGTTATGAGTCTGCTTTCTCCACTAGGCAATACACTTCTTGAAGGGAGATATTTCTCTTTGGTGAGTACTACAGTGTATATATGTGGTAAATATTCATTGAAAATATTTTTGAGGGTGGGTACAGTGGTTCATGCCTGTAATCCCAGCACTTTGGGAGGCCAAGGTGGGTGGATGACTTGAGGCCAGGAGTTCAAGACTAGCCTGGCCAACATGACGAAACCCTGTCTCTACTAGAAATACAAAAATTAGCTGGGCGTGGTAGCACGTGCCTGTAATCCCAGTTACTTGGGAGGCTGAGGCTGGAGAATCACTTGAACCTGGGAGGTGGAAGTCACAGTGAGCTGAGATCATGCCACTGCACTCCAGCCTGGGTGACAGAGCAAGACTCCAAAAAAAAAAAAAAAGAAAATTTTTTGAAATCATCCTGTAATTCAAGTGAATGAATTTCCCCACAATGTAAGTGGTCCCATTATTTTGACCATTTTCATAAGTCTATACAGAGTTTATAAAATTAAAAACTGGTATCTTTACATTATTATAATAGCAAATTAAAAATCTTATGAAAATAATAAATTGAGGCTAAGAAGTCTGACAAAATGCCTTTTGCCATCTGAGTCTCAGGAAAAGTTGACAGTCATTTAAGTTTTATAATTCAATCAATATTTATGCAAGTTATTTTTAAAGTAATATTTTATTTAAATGGTAGATGAGAACTAAATAAATTGCTGCTGAAAACAGTGGTATAAACTAAAGACATAAAATATATACACCGACGATAATTTGCAGGAAAACAAAAAGATTAATCTTCAGTTCCAGGCTTACTTTTACATGTGGGTTTTGGACAGCACCTCAGCCACTGCAATCCTGTGCATAATTCATATTAGTTGAGTTGGGAACAATCCAGGGGACAACAGTTCTCTTACACTGTTCACTGTCATCTTGTTTCAAAATAAGATAACAGTCATCATAATAGTCAAAAGCACATTATTTCTCAAGTTCTCTTTCTTTCTAATATGACATATGACTTCTGAATATTCCAGTCAGGATTTATCAGAGCCAACTATTATAAATCTCTTGTTTTAGCAAAGCTGACTACTGATTAGATTTTTTGCAACTAGACTCTTCAGTAGGAAAATCTGGTTCATTTTCAGCATGCTTTGGTTTGGCTTACTATTTTTTTTTTTTTTTTTTTGAGATGGAGTCTCATTCTGCCACCCAGGCTGGAGTGCAGTGGCATGATTTTGGCTCACTGTAACCTCTGTCGCCAGGGTTCAAGCAATTCTCCTGCCTCAGCCTCCCAAGTAGCTGGAAATACAGGCATCTGCCACCATACCAAATTAATTTTTGTATTTTTAGTAGAGACGGGGTTTCACCACATTGGCCAGGCTGGTCTTGAACTCCTGACCTCAAGTGATCTGCCTGCATTGGCCTCCCAAAGTGCTGGGATTACAGCCGTGAGCCACCATGCCTGGCTTGGTTTGCCTTACTATTGATCAAACTAAATAGTCACTTTAAAAAGTATTTTAGACACGGTGTATGTATTGATTGACAACTGATAGACTTTTGAGAGATATTAAACACTTAACATGAAAAAATTATGAGTGTAAGTTATATATAATACAAATGGTAATGCCAAAATTAGGCAAAATGATTTCTTATATATATATTGACATAATATATTGTGAAATCCAAGGGTCAGTATTTGCTACCATCACACATTCTCACAAAGTTCCCTCATTCCTCTGTGACCTTAAGTCTTTCAGAAAAAAAAAACCAAAAATAACAGGCAGAAAAGAATGTAAAATTACTAGAATATAGAGGGGAAAAGTGGAAGATAAAGAAGGCAAAAAGCAATTCACAGAGGCTCAAAAAAGGAGAAACGGAAGTAAAGATGCTTCAGTTCTGCTAACCCTCTCCCATTTAAACCCCCATGTACATCCCTAAGGCTCTGATTCCAGTGGTGTATGTGTGAGTGGAGACTGGTGAGCTACTTTTTTGTCACCTTAGAAGCTCCATCTCCCATTCTTTCTTTATGATTGTACATGATGAGGGAAGGAGATCTTGATTGTGCAAAACTGAAAGTATTCTCAGTGGGGAGTACATAAAAGCATCCATTCTGGGTTGGAGCTTTTCCAAAATTTCGAAAGAGATACTATGGTATGAAACATCAATACATTTAATTATGTAGAAAGAATAGAATATGATGTCTAATCCTGCATTTAGATGCTAGGTCCTAAGAATTATCTATCATTGTCATTATTATTATTATAAAATATGTATCAATTGATTGAATAGCAATGGCTAAGGGTAAACATTCAAATGATATGTGCTATTTTAAATGTTCTCTAAAAGCACATACTGGGTAAAAAAATGTTTCTTCTCCACATTTAGGAGGGAACTTACTCCAAATTATATAAGGGTTTTGGGAACAGTATGTCTCTAATTTTAAAATGGTTATTTGGCAACCAAACAAATGTGACATTAGATTCTAAGGCTGGAATAAATCCATGTATTTTAAATAGAAGGAAGTTATATAAAAAGATGTTATAACTTCAAAATATGATTTTGCATAACTTGAATGAAGCAAAATCACTTTGTATAACTGGTAGATTAGAACTTATTTTTATTAATATGCACATAAAGGATCATAAAGGATTAATATGCATATTTGGAGTTTCTAGTTTCTACCTCTCTCAACTTCAGTTTTTGAGAACAGACTACTATGAAATATCCAAAGTGGATAGCAAACAGATAACTTGCTTACCTATAACTCTTCAAGAGCTGTACCTTATTAGGTTGCAGGCAATTTTCAAATTCAAATATGAAAGACAGAAACATAAACCAGCAAGACTATGCTTCTCAAGTGGAATATCACATATGAACAAAACAAAATCTGTTCCCTTCTAGAGGATTAAACAAATATAGAAATTCAGGAATATTAAAAACAATCTAATGTATTTAGCATCTAACAAGTTCTATCCTTCTGGAATGATAGCATATCACCATTTTGTAAGCTCAAATTAATACATTTGGGCAATGATCATCAATGGCTACTAACATCACAAAAAATACCATGAAAAACTACTACAGCCAGTCATTACAAAAACATAACACTACTATAATGAAGTCTTACCAAAAAAAACTAAAACAAACAAAAAAAACCCCTAAATCTAATCAAGTTCCTATATTCAACAACCAATTTGTAACTAATTCAGGGGACAGAAGACTATGTTAAAGTATACCACAAAGATGCAATCTTTGTCCAAAGATCCAATAATGTCCACACTATGATAAATTCTATAGGTCCAGTTTCTTCAATGGGAAAATTGCAAGAAAACACAAAAAAAGAATAGGAGAAGCTGTAGATTAAAATAAATTTAAGAACATATCAACCAATCACAATGTGTGGATCTTTACTGAATTCTATTTCAAACAAACCATAAAACAAAACAAAGTACTTATGAGTGAAACACAGAAATAAGAACATGGAATATAATTACTGTCAACTTTTTAGGGTATGACCACAATATTGTGGTTATGTTAAAAAAAATTTAGAGATACATACTGAAATATTTACAGAAAAAATGAGATGACTGGGGTCTGCTTTAAAATAAATGGTAGGGTAAGGGTAGAAATTATTCACAAATTGATCATTGTTGGGGTGAATGATGGGTACATTCAGATTCATTACACTATTCTCTCTACTTTTGTATGTGTTTGAAATTTTCCATAATGAACAATTTTTTTTAAATTCCATCTTTTTCATCCCTTCTGATTTCTATTGCTAAATTCTCTTCTTAAAGCACACCCTTAAATATTGGTATTCAGCAGATATCTGCTTGCTGCTCTCTTTTCTTAAGTTTTCGTGATTAACCTTAGCCATACTCATGGCCTCAACTACTATCTGTAGGCTGATAATTCCTTTACTGGCTTTCCCTCAATGTCTAGGATCTCTCGTGAACATTAAACTTGTATATCCCACTCCCTACTGGGTCTTATGCTTATGAACTGGATGTAGAAAGTCAATTAAAGGTAAACAAATTCAAATTGTTACACAGCTTAACCATTACCTTATACTCCCTACAAAAAAATCTAGTACAGTTCTTTCCTATACACATATTCAATGTGGGCCTTCCCTGGACCTAAGGTACGCAAACAAATTCAAGCCCTGTGCATAGGTTATATGTAAGTACTACGCCATCTTATATAAAGAACTTGAGCATTCCCGATTTTGGTATCCTGGGGGTCCTGGAACCAATCCTTACCCATCTCATGGATACCAAGGGATTATACTCAATTATCTGTTGAATGAATGAATGAATGTGCAGTTGGAACAAACACTCCAAATTGTTTCAGAAATATCTGTAGAACTTAGAAATGAAAATAATATATAAGTTTTCTGAGAGTTTCTTAGCAGCTATAATTACTTTTGCTGAATATTTGCAATCCCTTCTTATCCAATCTTGATATTTATGCTAAAAGCAATGGGAAACTATGAATTTCACTGAAGTGGGTTTCATTGAAGTGAATCAGAGGTCAAGAGTGATATGATCAGATTTCCATTGTGAAAAGATCACTATGACTGCTGAGTGAATAATGGGTAGGAAAGAGACAGAGCAGATATAGGGAGATCAGTGATGACATTAAGCAGAAAAACTTGAATCAACTTACATAATGGTAGTGAAGTGGATGAGTGGATGAGTATTAGAGGTATTTGGGAGGGAAGTGGTTGATAATAGGGAGGGGGAAGGTGAGGAAAATGTCAAAAGTGACTTCTAGATTTCCAGCTTTGTACAGCTGAAAGAATGATAAGATAGATTAGTCTGGAAGAAGACCAGGTTTATGAGGGAATAAACATAAATTTGAGCTAAAAAATGTGAGATATCTAATGGAAATGTTAAGTAGGCAGTTGGAGAATTGATTCTGGAAGCAAATATGGGCAGAACAGAAGGCTAGATGAGAGATGCATATTTTGGAGTCTTAAGTATATAGATAGTGTAGTGTATAAATAATGGTCAGAATCCAGGAATAATGCTCTGGGATCTTTATCATCTTATCAGGTAGACTCAGAGATCTCTACCAGCACCTGACCAACCGACTGGCTTACAGTTAGGTAAAAACAAGAAACACAGGAAAAGGAGATGTCAGGAGATAAGAGGAACGCAGGAGAACCCGGAATTCATTCTCTTTCCTCATTACATCCTCTTTGACCCTCTTCTTTTCCCTCTCCCTGAGATCTAATAATCTCAAGTCAAGGTCACTTATGAGAATTGAAAGGTGAAGGGGGGGCACGTGGGGAACAAGATATAAGGATAGCAGGGAAAGTTTGAGGTCTTAGCAAAAAATAAGTAGAGACACATGATATAAGCCTTAAATGACTGGAGATTTTATAAGATAGGGAAGTAAAGATGAGGGAGGCAAAAAGGACACCAACTCCACTCACACTGGATCCTAAGGAATGTAGAGTGGAGAGAATAAATTGACTCCATTTGAGAGGACTGGTAGAGAAGTGGTGTTCTCTTCTCTACCTTCTCTTCCAAATAAAGGTAGGTTTCATTTGGGTCAAGGAGGTACAAGAAATGTTCAGAAGGTTATATTATGGGCCATCAGAGGCAAATTTCCTCACTTTGTTCTATGATACCTACTCACTCACTGCACGTATCTACACCCAATAAATGTTTGAAGATGAGGAATGCTGCAAAATGATGAAGGGTATTGCATAGAGAGTAAGAGCATGAATATTAACTACCTACTATGTACAGATAATGTGAAATGTTTCTGCTCTTCAGGAAGCATATAATCTGTAAGGGGAAAGACGATTTAATATCTGCAAAGATAAATAAATAGATAAATAGTAATCCAGTAGAAACAACATAAGCATGGCCAGGTACAGTGGCTCACGCCTGTAATCCCTTTGCTTTGGGAGGCCAGGGCAGGCAGATCGCTTGAGGTCAGGAGTTTGAGACCAGCCTGGCCAACATGGTGAAAGCCCATCTCTACAAGTACAAAAATTAGCCTGTAATCCCAGCTACTTGGGTGGCTGAAGTAGGAGAATCACTTAAACCCAGGAGGCAGAAGTTGCAGTGAGCTGAGATTGCACCACCGCACTCCAGCTTGGGTGACAGAGCGAGACTCCATCTCAAAAAAAAAAACAAAACAACATATGCAATGGTACCAGCCATAGATAATTGATTGCTTGGTGATAAACTGAGCTCTTCTTTGATATTAGACAACTTGGGGGTTCGAATCCTAGATTTTGTGCTTATTTATAAGTAAACCTCAATCTCCTAAATTATAAAACGGGGCTGGTAATATCTAAACTTCTGGAGTTGCTGAGATAACCTAATGACATGATATATAGAAAGTGTCTAGCACAATTAATTCCTAGCACATCATAACCACTCGATAAGTGGAGGTCAGTGTGAAGAAGTACTATTTCAACCTCTGTATGTTCCCACTAAACATTAGTATGTGGGTCATTTTTGATTCTTTAGATGGAAGTTTTTTTGTAGAATTGATGTACTGAACCACATCAATCTAAAAGGAGGAATGCTGCAAAATGATTATTAATGGTCACCAAGCAGTTAATTATGTACTGCTGGTACCATTGTTTATATTTTTTTACTGGATTACTGTTTCTCTCTCTAATTATTTATATTTGCAGATATTTATGTTTCCCCTTACAGATTATATGCTTCCTGAACAGCAGAAACATTTTACATTACTTTCACATAGTAGGTAGTTAATATTCATTCTATGTGCAATACTCTTCATCATTTTGACATTTGACTATTATTAATGACAATAAAATGGAATTCCTAATTAGGTTATAAGTTTTTTAAAATAAAGACCATTATCTTAAATTTTTTTTATTAAATTGTACAGTATTCAGAATACTATAGCAAGAGCAGTGTCTATGATTTCAACATATTTTTTCAAAAACACTGGTCAAAAGAATGCAATAAACACAATTCTTCCCCATTTCTCATAGAACTCTGTTAGCTTGATAATGATACATACAACTTTCTGTAAGTTATTTAACATAAAATTTTTAAAATATTCATACTTTCTAAACTAGTTACCTTAAACTTTATGAATTACGAATAAATTCAGGACAAAGATAATGGCCTATTTATTTATTTATTTATTTAGATGGAGTCTCGGTCTGGTCGCACAGGTTGGAACTCCAGGTTCAAGCAATTCTCCTGCCTCAGCCTTCTGAGTAGCTGGGATTACAGGCATGCGCCACCGTGCCCGGCTGCTTTTTTTTGTATTTTTAGTAGAGATGGGGTTTCACTATATTGGCCAGGCTGGTCTCAAACTCCTGACCTTGTGATCTGCCTGCCTCAGCCTCCCAAAGTGTTGGGATTACAAGCGTGTAAGCCACTGCACCCCGCAGCCTATTTATTTTTATAGAATTAAAAACATCTTTCATGATCCTTTGTACAGCTAAACAATGACAATGAATTTGTGTTAATAAAAGACAAACACAGAGTAGCTAAATTATATGAATAGTATAGATCATTAGGCATAAATTAAATAAGGAGACTACAGTATGTCAATCATAAAATAAACCATCTGCCATTTTTGTTACTTTCAGTCAAGGGAAAGACAGAGATAAAACATTTATGGAAATTCTAGTCTAAGGAAGTTTAAGTAAAGGGCCTTGTAATTGACAGATACAGGGGTTGTTTTTCACCCAGGCAGAAACAAAGATCATGAAAGACATTTCAAATCTGGAAAAATGCGTCAATTCCATAACATAGTAACTTCAGGAGTATATAAAAACTATAGTTTTGTTCACTGAGAGACATGTACCTGAGAGAATGAGGAACCTCTTATGTCACAGAGAAGAGCAGCATGCCACTTTGCCTCAGAAAGCAATCTGTCTGAGAGCCAAATGCAAGGAATCACCAATCCTTTTCTCTTTCTTCCCTAGCACTATACATCTCTCTTGGTTCTTCTTTTTTCTGCCTGTCTGGCTGCTTTATGGAATAACATTTGGTGTCTTTCTTTTCTTTCATCCATCTCATAATGTAGTGGATGTCTTTTCATTCCACACATTCCCCAGACAATTGCATCCATTTCTCTGGCTTCAACTACTATCCATTTGCTAATGACTCCTAAATCTAAACCTCTAGCTCAGATCTTTCTTATGAGTTCCAGGTCCATTTAATCAACAATTATATCTCTTTGCGAGTATTTCAAATTCAACTTGGCTAAAATGAAACTCACTATCTTCTCTACCAAATCTGCAAATGGTATGGTGTCATGATCTTTCCAGTTACTAAAACCAAAAATTTAGGAAACATCCTAGCCTCTCATTCTTCACACCCCAACTTTTAATCAGTCGAAAGTTCAGAGAAGAAATAAATTGCAAACTATTCACAAATATAAACATGAATAAATTCTGTGGTGTTCAGAAACTAAAATACAGTGAAAATGTAATTTACTAAGTGGTAGATGGAAAAATACATTAAGGTCAAACAGATTTTGGAATTGATGGAAAGCATTCTTATTACCTTTCCCAGTTGTAGAGATTAATATTGATCTGGATTGCTTGATAAACAAGGCCAGCCTGAAGAAGTACTATTTCAGCCTCCTGTATGTTCCCACTAAAAAGTAGTATGTGGGCCATTTTTGATTCTTTAGATGGAAGACTTTTTATAGAATTGATGTACTGAACCTTATCAATCTAAAAAAAGAAAAGAAAAATATTGAAGTAGATAATAACAGAAATATAACAAATTATGCTAAGAAAAAACACATGTACATATATGTAAACATTAATTACTTACTTCACCAATTGCTGCATAGGCTATTTCTGCAGTAGTCATATCTCGATTAGCAACTGCCATAGCAGCTAGACAAGCCCACATGGTTTGCTCCTAAAGTGAAGTATGAGAACAATTATCTTAACTATGTGACTGAACTGCCTTAAAATAAGCAGTGATTTAAATACTCATACCAAAATGATATTTTAATTTAAAAAATAAAAATTACTGAGCATGGCATTGAAAAAAACTAATAATGTGGAAATTTCATTGTGGCCATTTTGTTAAAATATATTAATACACAGAAAACTTTTGAAAGAAATTTTCTGAAATTTTCAATTTTGAGTTATTAAGGATTTATTTCTGAATTTAAAATAATAACTCAAGGTTATAAACCTTCCAGTCTTTTTGATGAGGTGTCAAATAATGTAATTTATAGGGAACCAAAGAAATAGTGAAGTTATCAGACAATGATATTATGGCAGACTGCTACTGATATACCAGTTAAGAAGAAATTATTTAGGCAGATAGTGAGGGTATAGAAGTCCTTCATGATAAGGTTTTCCTTTTAATGAAAAGCAGCCCCCAAATCATTTTCTTTTCTAACAAAGAGCAGCCTGTAAAATAGAGCTGCAGACACAAACAAGCAAACTGGAAGCTTGCATGAGTGAATGCCAGTAGTTGTGCCCATAGCAATATACTACCTGGGACTAGGCATGTTCAAAACGGCAGCTCCATCTTCTCTTTTTGCCAGACATATGTACAGTAAGGAGTAGATAAGATGGCACTGGCCAAGTGCAAAGTCTATTTGCATAATAAGATTAGGGTGGGGCGACCAGCCTTTCCTGTGCTATGTAAATGTCACACCTGGTCAAACCAATCTGTGAGCACTATGTAAATCAGACACAGCCTCCTCAAGCCTGCCTATGAAATCTGCTGCAGTCCGCCACTTTTCCCTTTTTGGATGCCTCTGTCTGGCAAGGAGCTGCTCTCCTCTCTCCTTTCTTCTGCCTATTACACTTTCCACTCCTTAACCTACCCACATGTGTCCGTCCTTAATTTTCTTGGTGTGAGATGACAAACTCCGGGTATTTACCCCAGACAATGATGCTATTCACCAATAACAACCCATTGTTTAAAAAAAGCATCTAAAAGTTATTTCACAAAAGTGTATTCTAAGGAATGTTCACTGATAGTCAATTAAAAAGGTCTACAGTCACACATGTTGGAAAAATACTAGATTCAACCAAGTTGGAAAAAGGCTGATCGAAAGCAGAGATTCTTAACCTTAGCTGTACAAAACAATCATCTGAGGAAATTAAAAAATATGGCTGGGCCTCAATCCAGATATAATGAATTAGAATCTCTATGGGAGAAGAACTTGGGAATCTGACTTTCAAAGAAGTTCCACAGAAGATTTTTATATGTGCCAGTATGGAAAAACAGTTTAAATTTTATAGCTTCTTCAGAGAATAAATCACACAGCAACATGTATTCCTCTGTATTGCTCATGTCTTTACTTATAAAACAAAAGACATGATCTTATTCACAATTTTCCAGCCTTTAAGCCTATTATCATTGTTCATTTTGCACAAAGGTAAACTACTATGAAATATATATACAACTATGAATCTAAAATGTAAATTACCTTAACAAAGCGACAAAGTCTTACAGCATCTTCCCATTTTGAACTGCTTACATATTCATGGAGAATAGCAGGATATGGTGATATGCTGATGTGAACCAGGGAGCCATCAGCTCTTCTAATAGTTACTTGATTTCCAACAAAACTCACAATATGGGGATTTTTACTAAATTCACTGTTGGGAAAAAAAAAGCAAAGTACAATTTAAAGTTGTATTCTGAGCAAAATTTTTCATGTATATTAAATCTGGGGAGTGGACCATGAAATATACAGGGAGTCTCCAATCTCCAAAAGGCACAACCCCAAAAGTTAACTCTGGGGAGAATGTATATGTTCAAAAAAACTTCGATGTATTTATTTGAATACATACATTCTCCCTGGAATTAACTTTGAATATAAACATTTGAATATAACTTGCTACATAAAGTAGCAAAAATTATTACATATTTGAGAGCTATTCCTAAGAGCATTTGAAATCATCTTTTTTTCCCTGAGGCTTAAGATAAATCACAACAATAATTAATATAGCTTTAGCTTTTAAAAGTATTAAAAGGTAAACCAATAAAAAGTAAACTAAATTCCAAGACTATTTTCTCAGAATAAAAAAAGGTGGGCCAGGCACAGTGACTCACACTTACAGCCTTAACTACTTGGGAAGATCACTTAAGCCCAGGCTGCAGTGAGCCATGATTACACCACTGCATTCCAGCTTTGGCAACAGAGTGTGATCTTGACTCTAAAAATAAATAAATAAAGAGATGACCTTTAAATAAAGTGACTAACTTCTTTTCATTAGTTCAAATACTTTTTAAAATACACTGTTTTATTTTGATGCTTCTCTGGTTTTGTTAAGGGTTTGAATCTGAATACTAAAAATGAACTCAAAACAGATTTGGAAACTAAGCTAAGGCCTAGAATTAAGAAGCCTTTGTATTCCTATTTTGTCAAGAATAAGAGATCTCCTTGCTATTTCTTAGAGAATTTAGGAATATAAATGCTTTGATTTTCTGAAGCATATAAATTTTAACAAATTTCAGTAACTTTGGTCCTTTCCTACTTTTAATATCAACCAAAAATTCAATTCTAGAAACATTTACATTCTTGAAAGTATTAAAGTCAATGATAATCTGTGACAGAGTTGGCTAGCTGTCACAAGGTTGTGCATCCTGAAAAATCTTAAGAGTGACTAGACTAAAATCACTTGATCACACTGAGAAAACTACCTGAGCTACCATGACACAATATTAAGCTTGAAAATTATATTCATATAAGGGACAAATAAATAATTCATATCATACCACACTTTCAACTTGATTCTGTCACTTAAGTCTCAAGCTAGCTTTAGCCGAACAATTTATTCATCAATAAATCTGACTGATGCGAAAAACACCTTGCAGGATTGAAAACAGAAGCAAAAACATGATACTCAGAGTTTTATTTACTACAATACAGAATTATATGCAGTAAAATGTTACCTTGCATCCCTTTCATATAATGTTTTAGGCAAAATGTCTCTGTCCACATAAACTGTATTGGGGTAATACCACACTATAAATCGAGTATCTTGAAGTCCACAAAGGATATTACATGTATCATTCCATGCCAAAGTATGCACCATTGTTCCTTAATTTAAAAAGAATGTTAATGTGCTATTAGCTTTAATATGTAAGAATTAAGAATAGATCTTTAAAATGCCTGACAAACAAAATCCCACAAAATTTCTGTTAGATATGACTCTACTTTCTGATTCTATAATGGTGAAAAACACATACAAAAGACTCACACAATAATTTACAGAAATATTTGAATGCTTTACTTAGAACCCTTATATTTTAAATTTGCAAATCTTTCTTTCAGTGACAATTTAGCTGCAGCAGCTAAAGACTTGCTATTCAGTTAATCCTCTTGTCTTCAGGCCATCAAGTTCCTGATGATCCTCAGTGAGGAATACCGTCCCCTCAATATTCAAGAGTCACTCTTCTACAAGGGACCCCTAGTCTGCCCGTCAGTGGGACATGACAGAAGTGAAGTCCTCCCTTGTCTCCCTTGCACCTAGCTGTATACGCTTTCACCAACCCACAGAGCCACCCTGCCCTGACAGCTAGCAAGAGGCCAAGATCCACAGAATAACCACCACTGTCTCTCTGTCAGCAGGAAGCAGTTACAGAAGACTGACTTCTGTCCATTTTCCCCATAGAATTGGGGTCTTGGACTCTTGAGGGTGGAAATGTTACAGCAGGTAGTCAGGCAGACATGAGCAAGGCAGGAAAGGCCCCTGCCACCAGCACCAGGAATGTCAGATGACCATCAGGTGATGGTCAGGCTGTTGTTAAGCTGTCTCTCTAAAATAATAATTGGTTGCAGCCAGTGCCAGGGAAAGGTCGTCTCTCAATATAAACGCCAAAACTGGAAATCAGTAGCTTCTCAATGAGATCTCAAGAACTAGGTGAGTGGGCTCACACATGCGTACTAACAGGTAAAATGGTGGAGGAGTTTAATTGGTATACAAACTTCCTCTAGAAACACTGGAGTGGTAAGGGAAAAATGCCTCAAGTGAGCATGTGTATAACTTCAGTAAACACACTGTGCATGTGGCCCCTCCCAGGTGCTGGCAGGCCACTGGGCATGTGGACAGCCTACCCAAGGAAAGAATCAGGGCAGAAGGGTTGCAACTCCCCAGAAGCATGCCAAAGTATAAAACCCCAAGTCAAAGATCAAAGAGTGCACTTGATCTCTCAAGCTGCCTGCTTGCCCTCTTCCAAGTTTACTCTATTTCCTTTCTTTCCTGCTCTAAATCTTTTGAATAGGCTGGGCCCGGTGGGTCATGCCTGTAATCTCAGCACCTTAAGAGACCAAGGCAGGTGGATGGCTTGAGCTCAGGAGTTCGAGACAAGCCTGGGCAACATGGTGAAACCTTGTTTCTACCAAAATACAAAAAAAATTAGCTAGATGTGGTGGCACATGCCTGTAGTCCTAGCTACTTGGGAGGCTGAGGCAGGAGAATCACTTGAGCCCAGGAGGCAGAAGTTACGGTGAGCCTTGATCTTGCCACTGCACTCCAGCATAGGTGACAGAGTGAGACCCTATCTCAAATAAAACACAATAAAAATTTTAAAATAAAGCTTTTAATAAACTTTCACTCCTACTCTTTAAAAAATGGGTTAAGTAGCTAAGAAGTATTACAAGATCAAAACATTAAAACATTTCCAGATTCATTCAAATTATTTATTATAGTAAATATAAGAAAGTTGACAATTAAAACTTAAAATGTATTCAAATTATTTTACCAAGCTTGATAATTTGTTCTTCCTTCCCAAATCGTTTCACAGAAGTGATACAGAGATCTCTATTTTTATCAATGAAAGCAATTTTTCTATCATTGGTAAGTCCTTTTTGATCCAGAGCAATTTCCAAGATTTCATTCTAAAATTTTTAAAAAATGTAAATACTGAGTTAGTTTTAGTGTTTGACATAAGATCATTTTAATTAATTATAAAATCATTCCCTTTAAGATCAATTAAATGTCATTTACACATTTATAATGATAAAATGTCCCTGTTAAGTAATTTTAAACTGCCAACACATTAATCGTTCAAAAGCTGCACTAAAGTATATTTGCCTGACATCCAAGGAAAAGACACCTCTTAAAATACAATAAAATAACATATATTTTGATACTCTGCAGGCTGAGAAACACTCCCATCTGTCCTGACCTACCTTTCATAGTCAGGGTGAAAGGGTCAGGCAATTCTGAGTATCATATGAGAGGTCTATTTTGATTAATAAGTTGCCTAACAACTATCTGTTAAATATTTGTAAAAACAAATTTTGGAAATATGTGGAAATACATCATGTGTCCAGGGCCTTAAATTCTACAGATTCTCTCACATTCATTCTTGCAAAACAGGAAACAAGCTTGTAATGTAGGTATTACTGTACTTAATTTACAAATCAGAAGACTAGACTCATACTCACTGAGCAATTTTGCTCAGAAAAAGTCAGTATCAAGTATATATAAACTTGCAACTCAGACTTCTAACTCCAAGATCATTGTTTTTCATCTGCTAGTGAGATGAATTTTACTATAACTTGAAAATGTTTCAATATAGATTCATTTTAATTCAAACCAAGAAAGATTTATTTACTTCCTACAATGTCTGAAGACTTTGGTAGGAATTGTGAATTCAACAAGAATCATGACCACAACATCAAGTCATTGTACCAAAATGAACTATAAAAAACACTTTTTAAAGTAAAACAAAATACACATATACTTTTATCCAAATTGGTGAACCAATCATATACCAGTTCATAATATATTTTTAAAAATTCAGCTCTTTCTAGAATACCATAATTTATATTTTAAGGAAGAAAAGAATCTGGTTTCATATATATCAAGGCATGCATGAAATATAACTCTAGGTATTTTCAAAATGGAAATGTTAACAATAAAGAATTGCTTATCATCGTCATCATCACCACCATCATCAGAACCTAGTGTATTCTTTTAAAAACACTGCTAAACAGATATGACTCTCCTAAGAAATTAAAAATCAAAGATGGACACTAATTATAATAATGCCTATGTACATAGGGGAAGAGGGGCTCCCTCACTTCATTCAGCAGGGCTTCCCCCATTTTCCTCTCGTCAAGTCCTACCACCTCCACATAGGTTCTATTCCGCCTGGGTTACTCTTTCTAGTGGAACATAAAAGCAGTTTTGTGTTCATTAGAACCATCTCCCTTGCCCTACACTATCAATATTCATTTACTAATACACAGACTTGAGTTCTAGTTTGAGCTCTGTTATTATTTGGGAAGATCTTGGATATGAATCTCTTCCACATATAAAATAAAATAGAGTGGGTGATTTTTCTATTATTTAATAGAATGTAAAATTTAAAAATCCTTTGTATTGCATACAAATGTACTGGGTAATTGGGTGAAGTGTGACATGTAGAAGACACTTTCATTCTTATAATTAGGAAATTATAAATTTCTTAATTTTAATTGTAAATTAAATTGTAAATTATTTTAATTGTAAATTTCTTAGGAAATTCTTACACTTAGGAAAAGTGTTATAGAAAGAGTTATAAAATTAAAATAAATATTTAACCTTATTAATTGACTCTCCTTTCAATCCTACTAACAAAAATGACTGCATCTTGAAAAGCTGAAAAATTTACCCCTTTTGATATGCTTAATCTTACTGAAGAGGAAAAACTCTGCTTACATAGTTTTGATTTAAAATGACAATAACGGAGAGGTTATAGAGAAATAAGCACCTCATATATTACCAGTGCAAAAGTAAACTGATAAACTCTCTTTGGAAGATGACTTTACAATATTTATTAAAATTACAAATTCTCATATCCTTTGACCCAGCAACAATATTTCAAGAATAGATCCCACAGTTACATTGGCACATGTACAAGAAGATGTATATGCAAGGTAATTCATCTTGGCAATACTGTAATATTAATAGCAAAAGATTGGAAACAGTTTAAATTCTGATACATACATAAAATGTTATACCATACAGTGGGAGGAAAAAGGGTTGAGAAAGCACTTTGTGCATAGATATGGAATCATCTCCAGAAAGAGAGTATTACAGGAAAAAAGCAAAGTGTAAAACTGTTTGTTACATTTTTGTAAAAGGGGAGGAAGAGAACATATATCAGTTTTGTTGGTACATACACTAAAAATCTCTGGAAGAATATATAAGAGATTAATAACAATGGTTACTTATTTGGTGGAGAGGCACTACAGTGATGAATAATAGGTATAGTAGGGAGACTACCACTGTATACTTTTTAATGCTTTTTGATTTTTGAACCATATGAATGTGTTTGTTATTCAAATTTAAAACTAGGGCCAGGCGTGGTGGCTCACATCGGTAATCCTAGCACTTTGCAGGGCTGAGGTGAGTGGATTGCTTGAGCTCAGGAGTTCGAGACCAGCCTGGGCAACATGGCGAAACCCTGTCTCTTCCAAAAACAAACAAAAAAAATTAATTACAAAAAATACATATAATTTTGAGTAACATTTCACTAGAAGTATTAATAAAACTAAAAGTGTCTCTAGACCCTAGCATATCAGTAATTTAGAAGGATAACTCAACGCAATGTGCTTCTTTTTCTAAGGCTAAAAATCAGAAACCAATAAACAACTTAAAATTCAGGGTCTTTTGTACTTTGTATAGAGATTTCCTACTACAGTCTTAAAACCTAAAGAAAATGCTGGCTAAGAACAGGTCAATGAGAAAACTGCAAGATATTTAGAAACACAAATACATTTTTATTTACTGACAGGTGCTAAAATTTTAATCAAAAAAGAACATGCAACTGAAAAGCAGTGAAGAGTTTGACAACAGACATATAAGTCAGATCCTTTTATTCAACTAATTTGCATGTATAGCTTCCTATCACGAACTTTACCAGTGCTTAGTCTTTAACTGTGACATTTTTAGGCGAAACAGTCAATGGAGAATGCACATTGATTTTAAATAAAAAACTAATTCCTTTCTGCCCTCTTTAAAATGAAAACATTAATTTTGAAAAGGAAGTAAATAAACAGCAGCTATTTACATTAGAAGTAATTAATGTGCATTACCTTATGAGAAAGAAACTTTCCGTCACCTAAAGGCTTTCCAGTTGATGCCTCAAAGAGGAAGATTACTTGAAAAAAAAGTAGAACATTAATTAATGTGTTATATTAGAATTTTTACTGGTAAAATTCAGTGAAACTATTATAATCCTTATGAGAAATTATTTACCTCTCTAGACCACAGAGAGTTAAATAATTCAGCACAGAAGAGCAGCAGCATCCAATTTTAATTTATTAATGTGGTCACATTTCTTATGAAAACAATAAAACTGAATACTTCTTCCTAAAACACATTCCCTAATTAGAATTTTTATTAATGGTATGGCATCAATGCTCAACAATGGGAAGTCCAAATGTGAATGTAATTTATAATTCTGATAACTTTGATTTAAACTAATACAACACCATAGAGTACAGGCCAAAGGAAAACATCCTCTTTGTCCTTTGAAGGTTAGCTGAAAATCACCTCATAAAAGGCAGATTAATAGGAGAAATGGTATACAATTTTATTAACTTACATGGGGCAGAATCAGAGAGTGATTACCCTACCATACAATGGGGTGCAGATGGTTAAAAGCCACTTCTTCCCCTTCTTAAGGGAAATGGAGATAGGGAAGTGTGGATGGTTTTAGAATGGGTAGTAAATGATTTCTAAGGGAATTCAGTGGGCATGAAGAACATTCAGTGGCCTGGAACCGTCTGTTGGGCCCACAGAGCACACAATGGTTTGTGACAAAAGTCTGTTCAGGTGTATTGACAGCTTTCTGTATTTCTTCCTGCAATATGAGTTTAGTTAATGAAAACTCAAGGAAGGGACCAGAGAGAATTGTTGTCTTCTTTGGTGGGTCCGAAGTTGAGGTAGATAAGGGAACTTCAGCACAGCATGTCAAAGCACCATATTTTGGGGTGTCAGTTTCTAGACCCCAACAATAGACATCATATTCCACAAAGGAAAAACATGTTGAATGTCTACTATAATGCCAGGCAACATGTTATGTGCTGCTCAGTTTTCTGTTATTAATATGCTACGCTGGTATAATCAATAATTTATCTGGTCTTTGTCCTGAAGCTTCAAAAATGCTGAGACTTTCCTGAGTGATTAGAGTAGCTGTATTATCGCTAGTGAGGAGACTCTTGATGGGCCCCTAGATAGCTTCAGGACAGGGGCTGATAATCAGATCAAGCATGTGGTTAGAGGGTCTGAACTTTCAGGTTCCCAGTCTCTGGAGATGGGAAGCGGGCTGGAGACTGGGTTCATCATGTGGCCAATGATTTAATTAACCATGCCAATGTAATAAAACCCCATACAAATTCTGAATGTCAAAGCTCAGTGGAGCTTCCTGGTTACTGAATACATTGATGAGCAGAGAAGATGATGTGTCCTGAGAGGAGAGGGCACAGAAACTCTGTGTCCATCCTTTATAGTAAAACTGTAATAATAAGTATAGCTTTCCTGAGTTCTGTGAGTCATTTTAGTGAATTATCAAACTTGAAGGCATTGTGGGAATCCCTGAATTTGCAGCTAGTTGGTCAGAAAAGTAGGCAGCTGCAGTGGGGTTGGGGGAGCGTTAGACTTGTGACTGTCATCTGAAATAGGAGCAGTCTTGTGGAAGACTGTGCCCTTAAGCTTTGGTGTCTGCATTAACTCCGGGTAGTGTAGAAATGAATTGCAGTATACCCAGTTGAGATGAAAATGGAATAGTTGGTATCAGGTTACTGAAATATATGGTTTGGGAAGAGAAAGATGAAAGGGCAGGGGATGAAGAACTTCTGATTCCTCAGTGGCCATGGGGTCCCCCAAGATAGGAAACACCAGCTATGCTGCAATTAGTTATTGGAGGCAAAAGTTACCGATGAAATTTAGAGATGATGCATACATCTTCTGGGAACTGGCTCACTAAATGCATAGGAAAATGCAAAACAGTAAGAAAAAAGAGAAATATACAATCTCTTGGTAATTGCTATCTATAATATAACAGCTAAAAATGAAAGGAAGAGATGAATCAAATATAAATTCTGGCCAGTCTAAATTATGGCCTCTAGCCTCAGGGCCCCAAATGAAGGAACGAATGTGTTGGGAAAGATACTGGATTCTTGCCAGTTCAAGGAACAGGCACTAGCCTCAGAGTCATTTTCAAAGGAAAAAGTTATGCTGAAACAAATCATGAAAAAGACTAAAATGATCCATAAGAGAATGGGGACAGACAGAGGGAAGTGTCTAGAAACTCATTCAAACTGGGAAAAAAATCTTTAAACAGTTATTAAGAAATACAGTGTGGTCCGGGCTTGGTGGCTCACACCTGTAATCCCAGCACTTTGGGAGGCCAAGGTGGGCGGATCACAAGGTCAGGAGATTGAGGCCATCCTGGATAACACAGTGAAACCTCGTCTCTACTAAAAATATAGAAAATTAGCCAGGCGTGGCGGCCTGCGCCTGCAGTCCCAGCTACTCGGGAGGCTGAGGCAGGATAATTGCTTGAACCTGGGAGGTGGAGGTTGCAGTGAGCCGAGATCACGTCACTGCACGCCAGCCTGGGTGACAGAGCGAGACTCCATCTCAAAAAAAAAAAAAAAAAAAAGGAAAACACAGCAAACAAAACTATAAAAACCCTGGAAGACAACCTAGGCAATACCATTCTGGACATGGGAACAAGGAAAGATTTCATGACAAAGATGCCAAAAGCAATCACAACAAAAGCAAAAATTGACAAATAGAATCTAATTAAATTTAAGACCTGCACAGCAAAAGAAACTATCAACAGAGTAAACAGACAACCTACAGAATAGGAGAAAATTTCTGCAAACTGTGCATCTGACAAAACTCTAATATCCAACATCTATAAGGAACTTAACAAATTTTTAAGAAAAAAAAACCATTAAAAATTGGGTAAAGGACAGGAACTTAAAAGAAGACATACATGTGGCCAACAAACATATGAACGAAAGCACAATATCACTGATCATTAGAGAAATACAAATCAAAACCACAATGAGATACCATTTCATACCAGTCAGAATGGCTATTATTAAAAAGTCAAAAAATAACAGATGCTGGTGAGTTGTGGAGAAAAGGGAATAGTTTAACACTGTTGGTGGGAGTGTAAATTAGTTCAATCATTGTGGAGAGGAGTGTGGCAATTCCTCAAAGAGCTAAAAACAGAACTACCATTCAACCCAGCAATCCCATTACTGGGTGTATACCCAAAGGAATATAAATCAGTCTACCACAAAGACATATGCATGCAAATGTTCACTGCAACACCTATCCACAATGGCAAAGACATGGAGTCAACTTAAATGTCCATCAATGACAGATCTGATAAAGAAAATGTTGTACATATACACCATGGAATACTGTCCAGCCATAAAAAAGAATAGATCTTGTCCTTTGCGGGAATGTTGATGGAGCTGGAGGCCATTATCCTTAACAAACTAATGCAGAAACAGAAAACCAATTACCACAAGTTCTCACTTATAAGTGGGAGCTAAATAATGAGAACTCATGGACACAAAGAGGGAAACAGAGACTAGGGGCTTGAGGGTGAAGAGTGGGAGGAGGGAGAGGATCAGAAAATATAATTATTGGGTACTAGGCTTAGTAACTAGGTGATGAAATCATCTGTACAATAAACCCCTATGACACAACGTTTACCAATGTAACAAACCTACACATGTACCCTGAACCTAAAACAAAAGTTTTTTTGGTTGTTTTTTAAAGAAATGGGGTGAAAAAGCAAATGCTGATGGGGGTAAAATGAAAGGGAAAGAGAAAGGAGAGAGTCAAGGGACTCATCATAGCAGTGTGGGAGTCTGGGATCAAAACACAGAGGTTGGGTGGACCAATGGGGTGGTCCTGCTAGTGTCCCAAAATTTAAGAGTGCTAAGCAAATCTGCTTTATTCATCTTAGTCTGGAAGAATTTGGAAAGCAGAAAGGCAAAGATGGCAACAAGAAACCTGACCTTGAATTACCTGGAGCAATGGTCTACCAATTTAATCAAGAAAAAGATTCAGGAAAGAGCCTGGGTTCCTTGGCTCAATTCTGAGCTGCAGACCCAACACCTTAAGCACATGAATAGGCAAAATGGTCAGGGGGTAGAAAGGAGAAGACTCTAGACACCTTGATGCAAAAGTGCCATGTACTTTGGTCCAAAACCCCCTGGTGAAGTCCTAAAGGAGACTACAATTAAATTGAGAGAGTACAGAAGTGCAAGCGTTGGTAGAAGAAAGGTGAAAGTTTGAATGAAAACTGGAGAGTTTAAACAGACTTTATGTGAAGAGGCTGTGTCTCCTTTACCTGAATGTTTCATGGGAATAGATACTATGTCTGACCGGAACACTTCCCCCACCTACTACTGAAAGTCCTAATGGGGCCAGGCTCACACCTGTAATCCCAGCATTTTGGGATGCTGAGGTGGGCAGATCACTTGAGGTTAGGAGTTTGAGACCAGCCTGGCCAACATGGTAAAACCCCACCTCTCCTAAAACTACAAAAAATTAGCTGGGAGTGGTGGCGCATGCCTGTAATACTAGCTATTCAGGAGGCTGAAGCAGGAGAATCATTTGAATCTGGGAGGAGGAGGTTGCAGTGAGCTGACATCACGCCACTGCACTCCAGCCTGGGCAACAGAGTGAGACTGTGTCTCAAAAAAAGGAAAAAAAAAAAAGAAAACAAAGTCCTAATGGGAGTCACAACTAGATTGAGAGGATATAGAAATGCAAGAGCTAATGGCATTAAGGTGAAAGTTTTGGATGAAAATTTGTATATTTAAAGAAGTTTTTTTTTTTTTTTTAGACAGAGTTTTTGCTTTTGTTGACCAGGCTGGAGTGCAGTGGTGCGATCTCAGCTCACTGTAAAGTCTGCCTCCTGGGTTCAAGCGATTCTCCTGCCTCACCCTCCCGAATAGCTGGGACACCGGCTAATTTTTTGTATTTTTAGTAAAGACGGGGTTTCGCCATGTTGGCCAGGCTGGTCTTGAATTCCTGACCTCAGGTGATCCGCCTGCCTTGGCTTCCCAAAGTGCTGGGATTACAGATGTGAGCCACCACGCCTGGCCCCAAACGAGCTTTATGTTAAGTAGTTGTGTCTCATTTGCCAGAATGTATTATGGGGACTGATATTACGTCTGACTGGAGAGCGTTTCCTCTATCAAGTAACGTGAAACAGAAGGCATGTAAATCCACCCTTTAAGCAATATTAATTGGGAATGCAAAATGGGAATCAATAAGATTACTCAAGTTCAACAGGCCTTGAATATCAATCAGTATATGAACTAGTATGGACGAATTCTCTATACAATAACCCTAGGTAGAATACAGATTGGAACTTACAGGAGAAAGCCTATGAACACCTCTCGGTGAAAATTACTGGGATTCTGGACTAGAGAATTCCCATCTGGGGGCAAGTACTAGCTTGCTATCTGACATTAATTGAAACTGACCCTATAACCGAAGAATAGAAAATAATCTTGAAATCTAATGTACCCATAATATCTTGGGTGACACTGGAGACAGATTCTACTAGGAAAGGCAATGCCCAGAAGAGTTTCATAATAAAATGGAAATGTATTGAGTAGGAACACATTACTGGGAAATACAAAAAGTTACAGTGTATTTATGAGTCTACCTGCTCTGACTGACTTTGGAACCACTTGAGGAGCTGCCAAATTCTGTTGACACTCGGACAGTGGCCTATAAACAGCTCTCAATTAACTAACAGATAGTTGCTTGGTTTATGAATAGCAGTTCTATTGTGAACATACAACGTTTTATTTGTAAGGCCACCCCCTGACAGAAGAAGGTGTGGTGGGCCGCACTGCATGCTGTTTGCCTCGATATCTGAGTTTTTATTAACTTGCAGGCCATGGTCACATGGTCAGGCAAGAAGGACAATGGAAAACTGGCCTGTTATAGGAATGCCCATATAGGGTACAGCCTTCAAGGAACTTACTATGGGAACTTGATGGGTGCATTAAGGTATGGCATATCAATGCTTATCAGGAGACTTCCCCTTCTAGGTTCAAAAGGTGATTGGAATTGACGAGCAAATACCTCAGGATGCCTGCTTGAGGTGGCCCCCTTGGGTATATGAAGCAAGTGAACACTGGGGGCTGCAGCAATGCAGAGATGAACTAAATCTAGAAATGTTCCTCTCAAACCCTCTGAGGCACAAAATACCAGCAAGAACTTTCTGTCTGCCCATGACAGACTGCAGATGGCTATAGGGCAGATTCCCCAGGAGGATGGCCCTACATATAGCTGGAAACCTGGACTCATGCCAGTAGCCCTGGAGGGCTACAAAAGGGTCCTGAGATGAGTAAATGCTGACTCTGCACTGGGCTTTGCTTAACCAGTGGTAACCTGGCAAATACTGAGGGAATTATAAAAGAACCAGCAGAGAAGATAATGCATTGATTTGGACTACCCAGTCACATTTCATCAGACCAAGGAACATACTTTACAATCCATAATGTCCAACAATGGGCAGAGAGATATCTTCCCGAGAGTAATGGTTCGGTAAAGAATCAGAATGGTAAGTTAAACCAGCGGTTTTCTAAAACAGGGGAAAGCATGAAGAATTGGCTTGCATGCCTGCATGAGTATGGATTCAGCAAGAGAGAAGCAAAGAGATAGATTCCTGCACTAGATAGATTCCTCTGTTTTTTTGTTTTGTTTTGTTTTGAGACAGAGTCTCGCTCTGTCACCCAGACTGGAGTGCAGTGGTGCAATCTTGGCTCACTACAACCTCGGCTCACTGCAACCTCCGCCTCCCAAGTTCAAGCGATTCTCCTGCTTCAGCCTTCTGAGTAGCTGGGATTACAGGTGCGTACCACCATGGCCGGCTACTTTTTGTATTTTTAGTAGAGACAGGGTTTCACCATGTTGGTCAAGTTGGTCGAACTCCTGACCTTCTGATCTGCCCACCTTGGCCTCCTTTTGTTTTTTTGATGGATCTCAGGGAGAGGGGGAGGGGAAAGGAGGATGCTGGTATGGCAAAACACTTTTTTCTTTCTTCCTTATATCACCTTCTCCTACTTGACACCATGGTCCCAAGACCAGGGCTACCACTACAAATGCCAGAAGCAGGGATGGTCCCCAAGAAAGAAACTATAACTATACTTTTAAGCCTTAATGTCAAAATTCCTAAGGACCTGATAGGATGGGTTGTGCCTTCACTACATCTGGAGATTGGGGGTTTAATAGTGAATGCAGCTTTATTGGCTGGTAGAGGAAACAGCCTGTTTGCTCTGTACAAATAGATAGGAGAAATAATAGCTGAGAGTAAAGAAATGAATAAATGGGTTATGCAATAAGTAAAATACTACATTAATGCTTCAAAAGAGGCTCAGAGCAAAAGAATGATATTGTTTCTTAGCTTAATTATAGCTGATACATGAGAAGATGAAGCCATATATTGCTGAGACCTCTCCTACTTGGAACTTGACAAACTTGAATGGAATCCTGCAAACCTCAGAGGTCTAAACTTGAAGACAACTTGGTCACAAAACATGATGATGGACTGGACTAATTATTTTGTTTTTTGTTTTTTGGGTTTTTTTGTTTGTTTGTTTTTTTGAGACGGAGTCTCACTCTGTCGCCCAGGCTGGAGTGCAGTGGCGTGATCTCGGCTCACTGCAAGCTCCGCCTCCCGGGTTCACGTCGTTCTCCAGCCTCAGCCTCCTGAGTAGCTGGGACTACAGGCACCCGCCACCACGCCCACCTAATTTTTTGTATTCTAGTAGAGACAGAGTTTCACCATGTTATCCAGGATGGTCTCCATATCCTGACCTCGTGATCCGCCCACCTCGGCCTCCCAAAGTGCTGGGATTACAAGTGTGAGTCACTGTGCCTGGCCCAGACTGGACTAATTATTAATGACTAGTAGAACTCTAGTAATGTGCTAGTGTCTTCTGACTCCTATTTTACAAAATGATATAACACTGGAATTGTTGGTAAGAGTATAAATACTGATAGTGATGATCGAATGTACTGGGAATGGAATTAAAAGCCTCCTATCTCTACCCAATATTGATTCCTCCAAACATTAGGCATACTCATGCTGGTCCTATTGACAGGAATGATCCTTTTGCCATAAGGGATCCATGGTCATAGACCAGGGGGTGATCTGTAGTTGAATAAATAATTTGTCTGGTCTTTGTCCTGGGCTCCTAGCAGGTAGCTTCAAAAATGCTTGGGATTTTCTGAGTGATAGAGGTGTCTTTGTTATCCTAATAAGGTGATTCTGGTGAGCCCCTAGATAGCTTCAGGATAGCGGCTGGTCACCAGAAAGACCAATCTCATGTTCAGAGAGTTGACCACTTTTCAGCCCTCCACCCCACCATCAACCTCTTGAGAAGGGACCTGGAAACTGAGTGCAATCACATACTTATATTTATTTATGAATACTAATGTGGCCTAGATTTTTAAACAGAAAATTTAAGTTATTCATACCTTTCTTTCAATTAACTTAAAATATGAATTTAAAAATATAAACAAATAGTTCAATGAAGTGCAATATTTACTATGTTACCAAATGAAGAAAAAGGGAATATTTAAAAAGATCAAAAACTTAAACATTAATATATGTTTTTAGGACCACAACATTAAATTCAAACTCTCTACCAACAGCTACGCAGCTACAATAAAGATTTTTTTCCTTATTACTGATCTTTGATGTTGTGACAATATCTATTTGTTCCATTAACTGGATATAGTATGACAACTTTAGCTGTTTAATTAACTCATGTTTTGAAAACAAATTAGAAAGCTCATAATTCTTTTTCTATAAAGTTGATGTATTGGTAGAAAATGTAAGTTAATTTATGAAAATTTTATAGTGTTAACAAATTTTATAGTTTTAACAAATTTTCATATTTGACAGGAAAAATTATAAAAATGTACTTACTTTTTTCATCAGCTTTGTCTCTTATTGCTATGGTATCATTACTCAAAGATACAGTCTGTGCATTCAGAATATCTGTTCTCATTCCAGGAAATTTTGGAGATGAAATAAAGCGCCCTTCATATGAATATAAATAGATACTACTACCATCTACAAGAAGAAAATGTCTAAAAAATAAAGAGTAGAAATAGATTCTCAAATAGGAGTATATTATATTTTCGTTTTTATATTACAGAATAGTTCATCCTTGGGGAAAAAATCTAAATCTTACAATTAATATAAATGTGTAGATATATAAGGAATAAAACATTTCAAACACTGAAAACCAGCATTGGTTGTTTTGGTTTGTTTTCTCGGTTTTTGTTTTATTATGAAGTAGAAGAAGAAAAATGAAAAGGTCCATAATCATCACCCTATACACTAAAATTTTGACTTCTTTTACATTATACCCACAATTCATTTCCTTTCCTAAAGAAGATTCTATACAAAGACAATCAAAAAATATTAGAGTTTACAATACAGTCATGTTAATGCCAGGTGCTATTTGTTTCATGAAACAGTCTTAATACATATTTTATAACTAAAGATTATGCTAAAAATAATTAAAGATTAAATAGTGGTTAAAGTCTAAAGTAGTGAAAATGACTAAAAAAATTAACATTAGGGCAAGCATTTATTAAAATAAGGTAGTTGTGACTTTAAAATCATATGGTGACTATCAGTATGTATTCATATGTAAAAATTCATATTTTTTTGCCACAGGGTCAGATTCATCTGCTATATTGACAACCATATTTAAGGCATAGGGCTCTCTGTTGTTACTTTTTTATTAACTCGAAACATAAATATTTTATGGCTGTTATATTTTTCCTTTGAAAATTTATGAATATTGTACAAAATAATTCAAGCAATACAGAGAAAACAAAAGACCTCTTGAGATCCTACCTCCATAGAGATAACTATGGCAATAGTATATTGCTTTACTAACTCACTCATTCCCCGATATACATTTGTTTCAAATTATTCACTGTTTTAAAGAATGTCTACAGTGTATATACACCTCCATATGTCTGCCCTACTAATTTCCTTAGTTCAGCTTCTAGAAATGCAATTACTGGATTAAAGAGCATACATTTAAAATGTTTAAATATATATTGTTATACTGCCCTTTGAAAAGTTGTATTGATTTACACACATACTATGGCTATATGGGTGTGCCTGTTTCCTTAATGCTGGAGACATTATTACTTTTCAAAATCTTATGTTTAATGTTTTAAATATCCTTGATTCAGAATTGGTTCTTGATTTAGGAACTGCTAATTGTTCTTTTTTTGCTATGGAAACAAAAAGGAAATAAACACCAAAACCAATGAAAAATTAGTATCTAATGAACACCAACTATATACACTTTAATTAAATTAATACTTGAGGATTGGTAGGTAGTTTATTTAATTGAAGGGTTTGGCCCTTACACACTGGTGTATGGTCATACATATTGGTTTATGAAAACAATACTTGCTAAACTTGACAAAGTGACATATATTAGTATATATTCCTTTGTCTCCGTACTAAAAGTATTTTTGTTTCCAAATAAGACACTATAGCTTTTAACCTACTTGTGAGTAAACACCCTGTTTCAAGGGGCAAACATCTCTAATTGCATAAATAAGACCAATGATAGGCAGTGACTAAATTTTTTGGCTATTTATGCCATTAATATATGTCTTTATTAAGAGTATACTCAATAAATACATTTATAAATAATGTATAAATGAATTTATTTGGAACTGTTAGAGTAAAAAGCATTTCAGATATACGTTTTTTAGATAGCTGACATTTTACCTTTTAAATGACAAAAATGACTTAGAAAATTTATGGTATAACTATTCATATATTTCAATTTCATTAAATAGATAACATAAAATTTGATATAACACTTCATTGGTCACTCAAGGTCATCAATACGGTGATCACATTTTTCACTATTTAACTGATAACTTTGATACTCATAAGAATCTGTTGGTGTGCAGAATCCTTATACTACTCAGCTACACAGTTCTGTGCTTTTAGTTTTCTCCATGTTCCCTTGCCAGGCAGCCACTTTTCTTCCTGTCATTGTGCTAGCCTCTAGCAGTCCACCAGTACCATTCTTCTTCTGGTTTTCTATTTATAAAAAGCTGTGGGCTAGAAAAGCTGATAATAAACACTATTAAGAGCTGCCTACATGATGAGTAAAGGGATGAGGAATAAAGCGCATGGTTTTGGGGCAAATGTTTTATGGGTAGATATTTTAGGTAACTGTCGATTATATTTTCACAATTTTTAACAAGCTTTATTGGGTTGTAGCTAAGTCCTCCTCTGATTCAGTAGGCTATTGCTGTACGCAAGAGACTAATTGACAGTTTTCATGGAAAAGCGTAGGTTCTTGAGTAATAGCTATTCCTAATTTACTCCAGTTAATTGCCTGGCATTTCTTAGTCCTGTATACACTGAATGTCTTAGTAGAGAAAACTAGTTTTCAAACTTCAGGTCACAGCCCAGTAGGCCCATGAAACCAAAGAGTTTCAACCAATATTTAAAACAAAGCAGAACAGAAAATAGGGGGGCCATGAGGTAAAAATTCTTTACTAGTTATTTACCTAGGTTGCTCCCATTCTCTCATGTCATCACTCGGATATTTACTTGTAATGAGTTTATTCTCATCATTTAAAATAAATAGCTTTAAAATTTGTTTCAATTTCTAATACTGTAAATACTGATATATTTAACCCACATATAACCCTCAGTAATTTTCTAAGAATGTTAAGAAATTCAGAGACTAAAATGTTTCAGAATCACTGATTTAAAAAACTTTATTCTTTTCTTTTTATTCTAAAATGTATAATAGAAACAGATTTGTTCTAAATGATTAGTATATCATTCTTTTAATTGGATGTTTTTATTAAAGAGTGCTTTAATGCTATTTATTTTAACCCCAGATCCAACAGTTAAACATAATAAATTACCTTTCTGCCTGCAGAATTAAACTAACAGTTCCTTCTTTGAGATCAAATATAATTGGTGTGTTCCAGTTCTTCGTGCTAAAAGACAAGTAAAATGGATATGTATTAACATTTAAAATAGCAAATACTTTTAAATAAGTAGATAGGTATTCATTTTAAATAAAGTGACTTCAGTTTCATAGTAATTATATACATACTTCTATTATAGCATTTGGTGCATTGTTCTGAAATTATTCCTTGATGTGTCTGTGTCCCCAACTAAAAAGCAGAGACTCCGTATCTCCAGCAATTAGCACATAATGGGAATCCAATAAATGTTTACTGGAGGTATTACAACATGTGAATTGAGAAATTCTAAGTTTGAGTTCTGCCATTTATCGGCTCTGTGAGTTTGGGCAAGTCATCTAATGATTCTCATTAAAAAAAAACAGCAGAAGCATGGCATAATGAAGAGATGATAGCTTTTTGTTAGACATATCTGGATTAGAAATATGGCTTCACCACCTGTCAGCCACTTGATCTTAAGCTTAACCTGCTAAGCATTAGTTTCCTTATTTGTAAAATGGGGATAATGATGACTTACATAGTGTCTGGCAAACTACCTGTTATAAAGCAGGTACCAGGCAAACAGAAACTAATAACAGTAATATGATGAACATGATTATTTTTCCTGCAGACCTCCCAATGTTATTGTTGGGTTGAAATGAAAATATTTCTGTGAAGCATTCTGTAAACTCTAAAATACTATATAAATGTAAGCCATGAACATGCTTATTGAATAAATTGATTAATAAATGAACAAGCAAATCATTTTGTTTTTATAGGGTAACATCAATCAAAGATTTGGGTGGGTAAAGAGAACATTTACAAACAGAAAAACTCATCCTTAAATAATAAAAGTTGTTCCACAGTTTAAAATAAGTTTTATTACTTCTATATATTCTGAATTTCAGTAACTTTCATAAAGCCGATTCTCTAAATCAGATTAAATCTCATGTTCAAATCCAGAAGATGGAGGAGGGAAGGGGAAGGAAGCAGTGAGTAAGCAAACAGGTAGGCAACTAATCTTGACTAATGTAAAGATTCTGATAATAATTTCAGTAAGTAAATACATGGACAAGGCAAAATAACAAATAAAGAACTGCTAATAATTAGTGATTATTAATTACTGATTATTAATTAGTCTGGGGTTCATAGATATGATAAAGATATATGCTTTTGCACTTTAGAAAAAAATCACAAAATACTTTATTAATTAACCTTCATTCTTTGTCAAGAAAGTTGGTAAGAAAAATAGTGATTATGTGAGGGTTTTTTTAATGTCCCCTAAGAAAATATCTGAGATTCCTGACAACTGAGAGATACATAAATGCCATGGAAATATAGACTCCCTAAGCTATAAATGCTGAATAGAACAAGAATATTAATATAATTATCTGAAAAATCAAATGAAAATTTAATATAGAATGCTTATATATTGTTTTCTTTTTCTGGAACTTCTTTTCATATAAACTAGTAAACTACTTGCATGTCTGTTTTTATAATTATATTTTTATTACTAAAAAAGAGCCAACAGTTATTAAGAACTTGGATTCAAATCCCCACTTTCCTTTAGTAACAAAGTCAATAATCTGATGTAAGGCAAGTTATCTAATCATTCTCATGTCCTTTAGCTTCAGCTTTCAAATCAGAATAATAATAAACATGAAAGACAGTATAACAGTTGCTCAATAAATGACAGTCATTATTATCTAAAATGCTAGTAGGCTTTTAAAACTTTATGAAATATGTTTTCATGGTGATTCATTCCCACTACTGCATCCTTGCATTTCATTACCACTGCTGCATCCTGGTATTAATATTTTGTACCTTAATAAATGTCTTGACAATCAAAGAGGGGAGGCAAGGTTCAAACAGAAAAGAAGAAAAGCAATCTTAAATTTGCCACACATTAACTTGTAAGGGAGGCCGGGCGTGGTGGCTCACGCCTGTAATCCCAGCACTTTGGGAGGCCGAGGCGGGCGGATCACGAGGTCAGGAGATCGAGACCATCCTAGCTAACACGGTGAAACCCCGTCTCTACTAAAAATACAAAAAAAAATTAGCCGGGCGTGGTGGCTGGCGCCTGTAGTCCCAGCTACTCGGGAGGCTGAGGCAGGAGAATGGCGTGAACCCGGGAGGCGGAGCTTGCGGTGAGCCGAGATCGTGCCACTGCACTCCAGCCTGGGCCACAGAGCGAGACCCCTCTCAGAAAAAAAAACAAAAAACAAAAAACTTGTAAGGGAAAAGTAGAATGACCAAAAAAAATTAATAGCTGCTAAACTTTGGGTATTTTTAAAGGCAACTTCTCTAATACATGTAACACCTAATGATACTAATCCTACAGATTCAAACATTATGTCCTTGCCACTACAACTAGTATGATACTAATCCTACAGATTCAAACATTATGTCCTTGCCACTATAACTAGTAGAATAATGGGGAAGTTATTATGGGGAAATTAAGAGCCTTATCTTCCCTCAAACAAACAAATAAACACTAAACTGAAGAGATCTCTGTTCTCCCCTGCCCCATGAAAATTAATTATTCAAACACCTATCTGCATTAAAGTGATTGTATGGTTTTCTCACATTCTATAATCCCTTCCCCACATCTCAACTGCTTAACTTGGTATCTTTTTTGAATTTTCCCAAATTCTTACTGTTTCTCTTTCGCTCTCATGTAAGGAAAAAAAAAAAAAAAAAAAAACACATAAAATTAAATTGCTTATTTCTTTATTCACTCACCTCTGTTTCTTCTATTTCATTACTTCAGATTTGGCTATTTGTCCCAAATTGCAGATTCTGATTAGTAGCAGGTTTATATATAGTGAGTGGGAATTTTAAAATATATAGTTGTAGCAGTTGTTAATTAAATACCTTTGTGTTGTGTACTATTAGACTTTAGGATACCAAGATGATGCTATACTTTACATATTTTAATTCATTTATTCATTCAAAAGTATTTATTAAGTACTCACAACACATTGGGCACTGTGCTAGGTGCTAGACATATAGTGGTGAATGAGACACATAGTCTCCATCTCAATTGTATATTCAGTGACTAAACTATAACTACGTAATGTTACAAATAATAAGGACAAAATTTTTAAAAAATCCTTAACTATTTCTAACTCTTGAAAGCATCATAGTGGTTACATGAGTTTTTTGGATAGTTGAGGAATCAACTGGTAGCATGCTAGAGCCAGCTTGTACTAGTTACTAAGTTTTCAAGAATTTTGTAAGCCAACTGTTAAATAAAGCCATTATTTATTATTTGAGACACGGTCTCACTCTGTTGTCCAGGCTGGAGTGCAGTGGTAGGGTCACAGCTCACTGCACCCTAGACCTCCTTGGCTCAAGCAATCCTCCAGTCCCAGCCTCCTGAGAAGCTAGGACCACAGTGCGCACCACCATGCCCAGCTAATTCAAAAAATTTTTGTAGAGATGGGGTCTCACTGTGCTGCTTATGCTAGTCTCAAGCTCCTGGACTCAAGCAATCCTCCTGCTTTGGTCTCCAAAAGTACTGGGGTTACAAGCATGAGCCATTGCACCTCGCCTGACTATTAACTGTTGATGTACAAACCTTATTAGATCTATTTTCACTGCTCTATGTTCACTTTCTCTCACTTCCTGGTTTGAGGTAGTTCAGGATAGCTGAGGTTTCGAGAAAGTTAAGCTTAAACCAAACCACGCTGATGTGAAATCCTGAAAATAAACTCCTCAGCATAGACAAAACTCTGAATTTTTAAGAAATGCAAGATGCTTACGAGAACACGTAACATTGAAGAGACGTTGAAACAACTAAGTGTGCGTAGTTCAAAGATGCTTTAATGACTCTATCACGGAATTCCAGTAAATCCACTGCATCATTAAGAACATTACGAACCTAAACAAGGAAAAATAAAATGCCAACAAACATCATTAAAACATATTCAAATTTTATTTACATAAGTTAGCAAGATTTTGAAACACAAAAAAATTCAATGCACTACTGATTACCTAATCATATAAAAAAGAATTTAATAGAAACTAGGCATAAGATAGTATACCTAATATTAAAAAAACCAACCAACAAAGTAGAGATACAGAAAATCTCTTAGAAATAAGTAGAAAAAGACCACAGAGATTTCTAACTTGCAAGCCAAACTTAATGATGTAGCAATGGAGTGATATAAAAAATATTCCAACACTGAGATATAGTCAAAGGAGGGTGGCATATTGAAGTTGGAAAGATTCTATGTGATTTCTGCCCAAAACGGTAAGAATATCTCTTTTTGGGGTTAGATTTTACTTAAAAATATACATTCTAAAAGAAGAGACATAATTGCTTTAAAAATCAAAAGTGGGGTAGGAGGTACTGGTAAACAAACCAATTGCATGGTGAAGAAGCCAAGCTGCAAGGAATGGGGAAAGCTATTTTCATATGCAAAAATACAGAGAGAGTGTCTAAAAAAGTCAAGCAGCAACTAACAGAGAGAGATTTGCTTATGACAGTCAGATTTATCATAAAAGTTTGTAACAGACTATTTTGCAAGGATTTTAATATTTGGCAGTATTGGACAAAAATCTTGAAGTTGACGAACAAAGTGCAAGAAATTAAGAAAAACGTTGAGCAAATTAAATTTACCTAATCTCTGCCCAATACCAGAATGGGTATGGCAGCACAGTAAGAGGTGAAAAATAGAGGAAAAAAACATAATTATACCTACAAATTAATACTGCTTTAAGTTCTCCTCAAAATGTTACCATTTTTCTAAATATAATGTGACAATTATAATATTAATGAACAATGAAAGGGTATGGAAAGAAAAACAGGAAGGTAAATCTAACTTCTTATAAGTACTTCAAAGAAGTACTTATGCCTACCAGGCACTGCCATGATCTAAATGTTTGTGTCTTCAAAATTCATATTTTGAAACCTAATCACCAGTATGACAGTATCAGCAGGTGGAGCCTTTGGAAGGTTATGAGCCCTTATGAATGGGATTAGTGCTCTTATAAAAGAGGCCCCAGAGAGCTGCCTTGCCCATTGCACCAAGCAAGGACACAGCAAGAAGGCACCATATATGAATTAGAAAGTGGGCCCTTGCCAGACCCTAAATCTGCTGGCACCTTGATCTTGGACTCCCAGCTTCCAAAACTGTGAGAAATAAACTTCTGTTGTTTATAAGCTACCCAGATTATGGTGTTTTGTTACAGCAGACCAAACAGAATAAACAGGTATGTTATTTTTTTTTTTACTATCTGCTATCTAACTCCCATCTCCACCAAAATATTGACCCAGCAATCTCATTTCTAGAGTTCCATCCCAAAGATAAACAAGCAAAACTATAAAATACCGTATGCACAGACTATCACTACAGCACTATTAGTAATAACAAAAGACTGGAAATAGCCCAAATGTCTATTGATAAGGGACAGGTTGTATAAACTGATATAGTCACACATATAGAGACATAAAGTGTCTATACATACAGCTATAAAAAGGAATGAGGAAGATCTATAGATGTCCATGAGATGTAGTAAAGTAAAAAAATATGGCTGGGCGCGGTGGCTCACGCCTGTAATCCCAGCACTTTGGGAGGCCAAGACGGGCAGATCATGAGGTCAGGAGATCAAGACCATCCTGGTTAACACGGTGAAACTCCGTCTCTACTAAAAATACACAAAATTAGCCGGGCTTGGTGGTGGGTGCCTGTAGTCCCAGCTACTAGGGAGGCTGAGGCAGGAGAATGGCGTGAACCCAGGAGGCGGAGCTTGCAGTGAGCCAAGATCGTGCTATTGCACTCCAGCCTGGGTGACAGAGTGAGACTCCGTCTCAAAAAAAAAAAAAAAAAAAAAGGCAAGATGCAGAACAGCGTGTATAGTATGATACTTTTTATCTAAGAAACAGAAGAATATGAAGATACGGATTTGCTCACATTTTAAAAAAATGAGAAATCTTAAACAGTATTCAGTAATATATTATTAGAATAATATTAATATTGTTATTTTCAAACTATATTTGGGGATATAATGTTTTTAGGAACCAAAATTTTCTGGTCAGAGAAGTGTTGCTCTTAAAAAAATCAAGAGTAAAACCCTATAATCTTAAATTTAAATTAGAAACCCCAGCATAAACTTGTGATGTATTTTTATCTGTCAAAAACAAAAACATTTCTTCCCAGTGTAGGCTCAAGTACAAAGAAAAAAGAAAAAAAAAAATTTGTCTAGAAGTAATGATGAAATCAGTAGCAATGAACACACGTTATTTACAGATCTGACTGTAGTCTGTACAAAAGAAGCCTGAAACATCTTGTCATACCAGAAAGCAAGGAAGCTATTGAAATCAGTCAAAAGAACATAGGAGCCAACTGGCCAAAGATGAGACAATTTGAGCATTATAGAGAATAACCACAATGGGTTGAAACACACAGAAAATGTTAAAATCTACAAGTTTATAATGATAACATCAATGACAACAAAAAAGAAATTTACTGGGCATGCTAGGAAACCAACTTATTTGAAAACTGGCAAATAGGAAAATCCGCATTTGTTACCATTCCCCATAGGGTAACCTAATGGTTGAGGAGGCAAACAAAGTCTTTCATAGGAGAATTCTAGCTAATAAATGTGGAAGGAATGATAGAATTACAATGTTACTATTTCACAACCCCCAATGAAAAATAGGTCTAAACAACTATCATTAATGGCAGCTAAAGGCATTAAGGTAAAAAACCCAGTGGGAAACTATATGATAGATGAATCAGGTTTCTAATACCTGAACACACTGATCAAATCTTAACATCACTAAAAGAGAGACAAGCAGACATATGTGCCTCCTGATTTAATGCAACAGGAAGTGCACAGCATCGCCTAAGGCTCTAAATCCAATAACCAGTCTAGAGGAAACACAGGATAAATGAACATATTAATTGTAATCAAGGCTGGGCATGGTGGCTTGTGCCTTTATTCCCAGCACTTTGGGTGGCTGAGGTGGGCAGAGTTCAAAACCAGCCCAGGCAACAAAGTGAGACCCTGTCTCTACAACAAACAAACAAAAAAAATTAGCTAGGCGTGGTGGCAGACGCCTGTGGTCCCAGCTACTCGGGAGGCTGAAGTGGGAGGATCGTTTGAGCTTGGGAGGGCAAGACTACCGTGAGCCGTGACTGTGCCACTGCACTCTAGCCTGGGTGATAAAGTGAGAACATGTCTTGAAAAAATAAATACATAAATAAGTAAATAAAAATAAATAAATAAATGCAATCATACCACAAAGATGGAATCAGTCAAATACAGAATGTGGGAAATTCAACAGAATAACCTGGTTCCTTTAACAAATAAATTGTAAGTAAACAAATAAGAAGAAGTTGTTTCAGATTTTAAAAGACTTAAGAGACAAATTAACTAAATGCAATGTGGGGCTTTATTTCCTGATAAAAACAAACCAACTAGAAAAATATATTTAGAAAATAATTGGAGAAATGTGATTTGTTACTGTAGAAAGACGTTAGGAAAAGACTGGGGAAATGTGAATGTTACTATGGTAATGTTAAAATGAAAATAGTTCTTATCTTTCAGACTGTTTAAAAAGAACTTAAAAAACAATTCCAGAACTAGTGCTGAAGAAAAAGACATGAATATTTTTGCTCACCTCTTCAAGGCGTAGGAGGAATGACTGTAAAGAGGGGAGTAGTCTGATATCAAGTGTTTCAAAGGAGCTAGAGTTTTTTAGGGAAGAGGAGGTTATAATGGTCTAGAATCAGCAAGGAGGAGTAAGGAAGACATCTAATCAGATCCGGTGATATGCAGCGCATCAAAGAAAAACACCTCTACTTGAGAAGGCTGGAGGAAAAACACTGCTCTCAGTAGTCGGCTGCTTTTTGTTTGTTTGTTTGTTTTGAGACGGAGTCTCGCACTGTCTCCTGGGCTGGAGTGCTATAGCGTGATCTCCGGCTCACTGCAACCTCTGCGTCCCAGGTTCAAGCTGGGACTCTTCCGCCTCAGCCTCCTGAGTAGCTGGGATTACAGGCGTGTGCCACCACACCCGGCTAATTTTTTTGTATTTTTAGTACAGACGGCGTTTCACCGTGTAAGCCAGGATGGCCTCAATCTCCTGACTTCATGATCCGCCTGCCTTGGCCTCCCAAAGTGCTGGGATTACAGGCGTGAGCTACCGTGCCAGGCCAGTAGTCAGCTGTTGTTAATTAGCACAAGAATGCTTTTAGTGAAAGGGCTGAGCTTTGTCTGCAAGGCCACAGCTATATGACTGCAGGTTGTGTACTGCACAACTCTGGGTCTATGTGAATGGTGCCCTCTGGAATTGAACAGGCCGCTGACTGCAGGTGGTGTCTTCAAATTTCCTAGGCCTACAACTACACATATGAAGCCCCATGTAGCAGGCGGCTGTAGAATTTTTAGGTCTCCTTTCAGGATGGAGAGAAAGGAGCTACCTCATAGACCCCCAGGCTCTGATTTCAAACAGAAACTTGAATCTAGTCCCTTGTCTCACTTCAAGTATTAATACTTTCAGTTTCCTTAGCCAGCAGGAGCAACTTTCCTCACTGCCTTTCCCTGCCTGCTTCTGGACCTGGAGTAGGTCTGAGACTCCACACTGCATTTTTGTTCTGTTTCTGGTCCACAGAGATCTTTATCTTGTTTTTGAGGCCAGATGAGTCTTTTATATATCTACATATTTAAATCTTTTGGTGCCAAAAGTATGTCTCTTTCTTCCATGTATGAATTAACACCATTTTTGTGAGAAGTCTGAGCTCCCAGAGATTTTGTTTTTTAAAGATCCAAAATGCCATCTTCTAGAAACAGTTTAAAGCTAATAGAATGATATAAAAATGTTAAAGGGAAGTTATATGTTAGTTTCTTTATAGCAACATGCTATCTAGTCAAACT